CATCTGAATGGAGGCGGTGGCCCCCAGTCAGGAAACTCGGGTCTTAGTCTGGGCTCTTCCTGCCTTACGTGTGGTCCCAGCAAACCTCTGTGATCCCAGGCTCCATCCTGTGTCTGCATGAGTCCCAGGGAGGAGGTGGCTGTTTCGGGGTCCTTCCATTGACCTGTTCTCTGTTATAAACCAGGTGCGATGGGCTTGGTGACAAGGGCAGACAGTGCTTAATTTAACTGTCTCCTCTGGCCTGGCAGGAAGGACATCAAGAAGGGGGAGAAGAACACAATCGTCACCTCCTACAACAGGAACTTCACAGGCCGCAACGACGCAAACCCCGAGACCCACGCCTTTGTCACGTCCCCGGAGGTGAGCCTGCCCATCGGGGCTGTGACCCGGGACTGCCTCTGGGGCCCTGCTGCCCCTGGCTGGTGGGTGGGGGATATGGAGCCTGGGTCCAGGCGTCTGACCCTCTGGGGCTGCGGCGGGAGGGCTGGTATTGCAGAGCAAGGGGCTATGTGGTTGGAAACCAAGAGCCCCAGGCCTCAAGCGTCACAGTTACGGTCACGAGCCAGTGCTTGGAGTCACTGCCCAGGAGAAAGGGCAGCTCAGCCTCTGCCCAGTTGTGTGGGCTTGGCCGTGTCACACTGCTCTGTGCCAAGGATCCTGTTAGGATCACAGGATGAGGATGGAAAGCGCTTGACCGTCTCCGCCGGGAAGGCAGCCTCTGTGAAGAGCGCTGTGCCAAGTGCTCGGGGGTTCAGCGGGCTTTCAGCCTCGACCATTGTCAGCGCACGGCCAGGCTTTCTGGCCTTTTTGTCTTTTATGTAGATGATTTTAAGTAATCTCTACACGCGATGCAGGGCTCGAACTCACAGCCCTGAGACGGAGTGACACGCTCTGCCGCTTAGCCGGCCGGGCAGTTTCTTGACTTGAAATAAGTGTTCCGGAAATACTTATGTTTGCTAAAAATGACTGGAGAGGCGGCGCCTTCCTTCTGTCTTCAGCTCCCGTTTAGGAAGATTTTGTTGCAGCAGCAACTCACAGTGTCTGTGAGGGGAGGAGACTGCCCCCGGGAGGGTACAGAGGCCCAGGCCTGTGGCCCAAGCCCCCAGAGATGTTCTTGTAGCTTTGGCCTCTGGGGAGGACTTACATGGGGAGGACTCAGGTGTACCTGCTCCGGGCTCCGTTTCCGTCTGGGCTCCTGCTTGGGGGGGGTGACAGGAGTGGTGTTGGCTACTAATCAGCAGTGGGCCACCTCCATTCCAGATTGTCACAGCGCTGGCCATCGCAGGCACCCTCAAGTTCAACCCAGAGACTGACTTCCTGACGGGCAAGGACGGCAAGAAATTCAAGCTGGAGGCCCCAGATGCGGACGAGCTTCCCCAGGCGGTGAGCAGGCGCCGCTGCCCTGTGCTCTCGGCTGCCGTGGGCCGGGCGCCTTGGGCCCCCGCCGCTCACTCCGGGGCTAAGACCCTCCTTCCAGGCATGCCAGCGTCCGGGCCCTGCCCCTCCTGGGCACGCAGGACCACCCTGGGAGTGAGAATGAGGCAGCTCCATGCACCGGAGGGGAAGGCAGGGGACACGGGAGGCTGCCTTCTACAAGCACCTCTACGTGGGGACTGAGGACTCAGCCCCCAGCACGTCCCAATCTTCTGCAGGAGTTTGACCCTGGGCAGGACACCTACCAGCATCCTCCCAAGGACAGCAGCGGGCAGCGAGTAGACGTGAGCCCCACCAGCCAACGCCTGCAGCTCCTGGAGCCTTTTGACAAGTGGGACGGCAAAGACCTGGAGGACCTGCAGATCCTCATCAAGGTCAGCATCAGCGACGGGGGGATGGGCGGGGAGAACAGCCCTGGCTCGCCCGGCCCTGCCCTCAGCCAGAAGGGCAGAGAAACCGTAAGTTCTCCCCTGGGCCCCAGAGGGGAAGGTCAGGCCTGGGGCGGGGGCCTCCACAGCCCAGTGTCCCCTTCTCCTCCACCCCCTGTGCTGGGCTGAGCTGGGTCTGGCTGGCGGTGTCTGGGGCGCTCCGCGGCCACTGGTGAGGGCCACCAGCAGCGGCCACAGGCAGTGGGTGCAGTGCGGGGAGGACCAGAAGGGCACCAGGTCTCCACCCCTCTGGCTTTACCACATGGTCTCCAGAAGCCACGGAGCCCTCTGCTCCCGCGGTCGGGCGTCAGTCGGCCTGGCCTGTGTTTGGGAGCCGGGCAGACGCAAGCCCCTGTGGTGTGCTCAGAGGCCTGGGACCACGTCAGCCGCGATGTCCTGCTGTTGATGGAGGGCCTTCAAGCAGCGGCAGCCAGTGTTGCCCACGATAGATAAAAGTGGTCACCAGCCAGGACACCTCCTCGGACTCCTCTGGGTCCAGCCTGAGGTCCATAGCCAGTCTTCCTGCCGGGGCAGCACTTGCCTGGGGGCCTGGGTCTGAAGACTGAGCGAGCAGACCCACCTGTCCAGCCCCTGCCCCTGAGAGTTTCCTGTCCCAGACCACTCACTGAGCAGCCCAGGGCCTTCGAGGGGTTGGGGACGGTCTTGCCTGAGCCCTCGTGGTCAAAGTGCGGCAAGGCCAGGGCAGCAGACTGTGTGTCTAAAGCCAGACCTGCTGCCCTCGTCACCCTTCCTGGGTCGCAGTTGCTGGGCCCGCTGCCAGCCTCTAGAGGGCTTCTCCCTTGTTCTGCCTCCCTTGCGTCATGCCCTGATCTCCGTCCTCTCTTCTCACAAATCCAAGGTCAAAGGGAAGTGTACCACTGACCACATCTCGGCCGCTGGCCCCTGGCTTAAGTTCCGCGGGCACCTGGACAACATCTCCAATAACCTGCTCATCGGCGCCATCAACATCGAAAATGGCAAGGCCAACTCCGTGCGCAATGCTGTCACCCAGGAGTTTGGACCTGTCCCTGACACTGCCCGCTACTACAAGGTGGGTCCAAGTCAGTGGTGGAACGGGTGCTCTCCCCCCAGGAGCCCACACCAGTAGCTGTGCAGTTGAAGGGCCCCCTGGGGCCCATCCTGTGTCCCCCCATCATATACTCCTGGGCTCTGCTCTCACCCTGTGGCCTTCCCCCCACTCCTGCCTCTGTCCTGAGCACGTCCCTAGGCCCCTTGCAGAGTCAGGGCCCACATCTGATCCCCTCCGTCCCCTTAGGGCCTCATTGGGGCCCGATTCACCTGATTTCCCAGGCAAGGAGGGGCCTCTCTAGCCCCTTGACCTGTGAACCTCAGGAAGCCCAGGGACAGCAGGCGGGGGCCAGTGCCCCTCATAGTGGCCTCACTTGCCTGACAGAAACATGGCATCCGGTGGGTGGTGATCGGAGACGAGAACTACGGGGAGGGCTCGAGCCGGGAGCACGCAGCACTGGAACCTCGCCACCTCGGGGGCCGGGCCATCATCACCAAGAGCTTTGCCAGGATCCATGGTAAGGTGGAGCCCGGGTCCAGCCACATCCGATTGCCCTCACCAGCAGCCCGTGGTCATCCGACCCCCCTGCGGCAGAGGCAGGCCTGGAGCCACACGCTTGGTTTCCACACCGTGTCCACGGCTCCCATTTTCCACCACAGTCTCCATCCCTTCTGAGTTTGTTGAGTCTGGGGCCCACAACTTCCTGAAGTGGGAACTTGCTTCCAAACTTGCAGACCCAAGCAGCAGCTGATGTGAGGGTCTGCAGGGAAGCCAGTGGGTACTCCAGCCGGCACGCTGGGATAGGCTCTGGTGGAAGGTACCCCGTCCCCGGGGCTGTAGCCATCCAGTCCTTTCAGTTCCGCTCCGTGGTCTCCAGATGGCAGGACCAGGTGCCTCTCTGTCCCAGCACCCTAGTTGGGGTTAGAAAAGGAAGCTCTTAGGCTGGTGAGGCTTCCTGAGCAGAGAAGCGGGGACTGGAGCTCTATGGACTCCGTGTGCCCTTTGCCTTGTAGAAACCAACTTGAAGAAGCAGGGCTTGCTGCCCCTCACCTTCGCCGACCCAGCCGACTACAACAAGATTCACCCCGTGGACAAGCTGACCATCCAGGGCCTGAAAGACTTTGCTCCTGGCAAGGTCAGGGGGCTGGGGAAGGAGGGTGGGTTGGGACCACCACCTGTTTCTGGCCCCAATTGCTCCTCCTCCCATGAGCCTTTGTTTCAGCTGGAAGGGCCCTTAAATTCTCCAGGGATCCCCCTTGGAGGGAAGAAAGTACCTTCCCAGAGACAGGGTGGAGCCAGCTTAGGCCGCCCTCGTTAGCTCAGGCCAAGAGCCTGCGCAGAGCAGGACCCTCTTGGCCCTGGGAGTTATGCCATCCACGTCTCAATGTGGCCACCCAAGCCTGGGCCTGGCCTCTGGCCCCCCCGTTTCACCTTGAGTGTGCCCCACCTTGCAGACCCTGCAGCAGAGCCCAGGGCCATGTTCGTAAGAGCCTCCACCTCCCCCCATTCCCTGCAGCCCCTGAAATGCATCATCAAGCACCCCAACGGGACCCAGGAGACCATCCTCCTGAACCACACCTTCAACGAGACCCAGATCGAGTGGTTCCGCGCCGGCAGCGCCCTGAACAGGATGAAGGAGCTGCAGCAGCATTAGGGCCCGGCCCCGCCCGCCCGCCTGCTCCTCGGACCCGCTCCGGGATGCCCGTGCGGCCCGTGCCTCATCAGAGCCGGATCCGCCCCGATCCAGCCATGGCTTCCTGCCCCGAGATGGTGTGGTCAGGCCTCCTGGCCTCCCCGCCCTCAGCCCACCGAGTGACCCATGGTTGGGGGTGGGTCTTAAAGGAATGTTCCAGCCCCCCTGCCTTCCCATTTTTAGTCTGATTCAGACCTTGAGCAGCTCCATTCAACTGTATTTATTTTTATGACGAGACTCCCATCTAAAGTGTTCTCCTGCCTCATTTCACTGGTGGCTCAAGGATTTTAAAGAAACTTTTGCTCTTGCAAGGAAAATAAGAATCCAAACTCAGTGACTGTCCCTGTGTGTGAGTGGTGGTGTCCGTACTGTCGCCGACTCCGCGGCTCAGGGAAGAAGGGTCTCTGTAGCCGGCCGGCAGAGGCCCCCCCGCTAGCCACGCCACAGCGGACCCGCCACTACCGTGAAGGACACATGAGACGGTAGCTTTCCCGTGTCTTCTCGGCCTCCCCTCCCTGTACCCCAGCATCTGCACAGCCCCCCTTGTGTCAGGAGGCTGGGCCCGAGATGGTACTTCCCCTGCCCCTGGGCACGGAGTTACCCCTCCAGACACCCTGAGGGGGGCCCAGACCCCTTCTTACAGACCACCTCAAGGCCACAGCTGGGCAGGGATGGGCACTGTCCCCTGCCCTATGGCACCAGGCCGTGGCGGGCGTCTTTCTGCAGCTGCTCCCCACACCCACCCCGTGGAGATGCTCCACGGGCAGGACCTACACCTCTGCGCCCTGGTGCCTGTGCGAGCAGAGAAGGCCAGAGCAGGAGGCGGGCTCCGAGGAGGGCCCTCCTCAGTGCGAGACTTGCCTGACAGAAACACCGTGTCCAGTGAGCGCCATAAAGCCGGGCTGCGGGTTCTGCGGAATCGAGAAAAGAGGTGGGAGGCGGGTGGCAGAGCCCTTCTGCTGAATAAACAAGGCGGTGTTTGCCCTCGCCTGGGGTTTGGCGTCGCCAGCAGGCCCACAGACGGTTCCTCGTGTGGCGGAGGTCACAGGTGACCGCTGTCCTGCTTGGGGGAGGGATAACACAGCTGGTCACCAGCCCGGACCTCAGGCCACCTAAGCCCCGGCCTCCGCTTTCCTGACGGGGCTGGCTTGCCGAGTGCAGGCCCCCAGCTTCGCCCGCTGGTGGGGGGAAAGGCGGTTGTCCCTAAAAGGTCAAGACTTGACAATAACTAGCTGCTACCCCAGGCCAGCCTCTCGCTCAGTCACTTTAGAGAGCGTTTAGCCCAGAGCCCAGCCTGAGGCCGACACTCTGTCAACCCCCAAGCCCTGCCAGGGTGGTGTGGGAGCGGGAGGGGTGTCACCTACAGAAGTGAACCGGGAGAGGAAGGACATGTGGTCCCGCTATGGCAGCTCAGTGACCTTCAATCACAGAGACAAGGGTGGCTCTTCCCTGACGATACCGTCTGTTTATTAAAAGTCTGTGCTGTTGCCAAGAGGCAGAGGTCCAGAGAGACAGTGGGAGTTTGGGGGCAGCTCCAGCAGGGACGGGGCCAGGCTGGCGGGGCGCACACTCTGCTGCTCGGCATCTGTGGGAGCAGCTGCTGTCCTCACCGCTAGCTGCTGGTCCACCAGGAGAGAAGGCCCAGGCCCGGCTCACTGATGGATCCCTGTGGGAGAGAAAACGGGCACATTCCATCTGCCTTCAGGGCTTCAGCCACCTCGGGAGATGAAGGGACCAGTGGAGCCAGCACACACCAGCCAAGAGGATGGGGGGACATCAGGGGCCACCCCAGCATGCCTGGCTGGCACCCGGGAACACAGCCCATCTCCCCTCTCCCGCCCCAACCTCTCCTGAGGCCTCTAAGGAAAGCGCTGGTTCTCTAAGGGCATGGCCTCTGATCTCAAGGCCTCAGCTAGATCCGGTTCCCTTCCTCGCCCCCAGGCCCTGCCCAGACATGGGCACCGGCAGGCCAGGCCTGGACATGCTCTCAGTCCGGCCAGGAAGGCCCGGTGACCCTGCGCCCCAGCCTCCAGACACATGGGGCAGGGGGTGCCCTTGGCCACCCAGATTTTGACAAAGCAAACCACCCGCAGCACACATTATCAAGGAAACCCTACTAGCAGGGCCCAGAAATGTGTCCCACTTCACCCTGCATGGCTGTCACTTCATGAAGGTAGACAACCCAGGGAAGCCCAGACAAATCCAGTCGCAGATCCCCTGCTACCCTGGGCACACGCCTGCTCGGTAGGGGAGCCCAACAGAGGGTCACCCCTCCCCCCCTGCAGCCCCACCATCGTGCCTGATGCACTCCCAGCAGCCTTGTCACCCGTGTGGGCTCCATCCTCTGGCCGTCAGGAGCCTGTGGCTCCCAGTGTTGGGCCGTGCCTGGCCTCTGACACAGGATCCCTAGGGCGAGGTGACTAAGAACACCCCAGGGACCTGCGCCCTGACCTAGGGGAAAGGCCCCAGGCTGGGAGCAGGTCAGCACCCCCGGAAGCCGCTCCCGGCCTGGCTTCTCCACCGCCCCCCCCTGCCCTCAGTCTTGGCCGCGGTGTCAGCGTCTCACCACAAGCGTGTACGGAGCCTCCTTCTTTGGCAGCTCCTCGCTGGACGACGCGGCCTCGGCCGAGCTGGGCCCCGTGGGCGACGTGTCCACGAAGCTCTCGTCCACCACCCGGAAGCGGATCTCCTCGCCGGTGTCCATGTACAAGTCGTGCGCCCCCTCCTCGGTCTCGTACTCCCACACCCACACCTGCTCGGCCTCGTCGCTGGCGGGGGCTCAGGGTCAAGGCAACAACCAGGTGGGAGGGGCCCACGGGTGGGGGGGGGTTCCTGCCCCCGGAAACCCGATCAGGGAGACCACCTTGGCTGGGGAGTCGAGGAGAGGCGGGCCCACGCCACACGCGAGCAGCCAGGCTGGGCAAGATCCGGGCCGCGGAGGGGGGAGCAGGAAGTCTGGGGGGCACAGGCTCCCCCACCCGGCCCCATGGCCAGGTGGGCACAATCCTCGGCCCCAGAGCAGGAAGGAGGCGCAGCAGCAGAGCGAGCCCCACCTCTCGAGGCCTCTTGCGGCCCGGGGTGCGCTCCCTGCTGGGTCTGACTCGGCCCACGTGTCCTCTCGGGGCGGCTGCCACGCTCGGAGCCGCTGTGCCTCGGGTCCCCCTGTCCGCAGAGATGTGGCAAGGCCTGCCCTCGCGGGGCTGCAGTGAGGGGGGCAGGAAGCAGCGCACCCAGAAGGTGCTTCCCGCGGGACCCGCCCGGGGGTCCTGGAGAGCCGGCCGGAGCAGGGCTGTGTCCCCCGCACGTCCCACCCCGCAACCCTTCCCGCTGCGTCCTGAACACGCAGCACAAGGAGCTTCCCGGTGTTTGGGAGGACAGCACGGCAGACGGAGGGTCACCCGCCTGAGGGCCCACAGCCAGCGCGAGGCCCAGCCGGCCAGGACCGGGTTCCCCGACAGGCCCTGGCGTCCCAGGCGGGCCGGGCCTGAGCGCAGCACCTGGACCTCCCGGCAGATCCCACGTCCTCCCTCAGCCCACACCGCGGCGCCACAGCGCCCTCTAGTGGCTGTCACGCGCAGGGTCGTGCCCCAAACCCTGGGAGCCAGGGCCCCTACTGGGCCGCAGGGGACACAGTCCTGACCAGATGGGGTCCCGTCCAGGGAGCATTCTCAGCGAGGACGCCCCAGAAACACACAACCCCAATGCTGCTGGGCCAGAGCAATGGGGGAAGCCAGCAGAGGGGAACAACCCAGCCCAGAACCGGGCAGTCAAGGCCTTCAACCATGTTGTCCACACAGCAGGGAGGGGGAGAGGGAGCGAGTCAGGGCAAACCTCCCCAGGGCGGGGATCTCAGAGATGATCCCTGAGACGACAACCTAAGCCAAGCAAACAGCACACCCCCTACAGAGCCTGCGCGCAGACGGGCACCGGTGTGGGACGCCACGGGAGCTCCCACGGGGGCACGGGCAGGTCAGCACCACACATGTGCAGGCCCGGGGGTGGGAGTGGACACACAGGTCAGCAGTGTCAGATCACAGGCACCAGGGTCACCCCAAGGAGCAGGACTGTCCTTTGGAAAGACCTGAGCTCCTCTGTGACCCACTTTACCTTGGGAGGATACAACTTGGCCGGCTGCTGCAGCGACTCTGGGGGAATGAGGATGTCATCGAAGAACCCTAGAGAGACTGGAACATGTGAAGAAAGTGACAGCATGGGACCAGGGCGGTTGTCGCCATGGAAATCTGAGCCCCCCACCCCGCTCGGAGCCCCGCGCCTCTGCCTATGCCTCTCAGCCCCTAAAACCTGCAGCGGACACCACACAAAACAGGGGCCAGAGGGTGCCGGGGACCCCGAGCCCCCTGAGTGCTCGCCCCGAGGTCCTGAGTTACGGCCTCACGGCGAAGCCCAGAGCTGGCCGAGGCCTTCCCTGAGCACTGAGCACGAGGGGGCTGCGTATCACCCTCCCTCCCCGGCTTCCCTGACAGTGTGGAAGCTTCTGCATCCGACTCCTCCCCTGACCTGCGGCCCAGCACAGAAGCTGGGCAGGCCTGCTGGTCTGACCACTCGCCCCAACGTGCTCCCAGCTTCGTCTGAGGAGTTGGGGCCGCCGTTACCGTGCACTCCCTCCGGGCTGCAGCCTTTGATCTTGCCAATCAGAATCTCATCCAGGAAGGGATGGAACACCACGTAGCGAAAATGGACTGGAAGTGAAGGAAGAGTGTCAGGGACGAGCCGGCAGGTGAGGGATGGCCGCTCGGGGAGGCCCTGGCTTCCCATGTCGACCAGACTCGCCAGACCCGGAGGCCCTGCGGCTAGCTGGGAGTCTGCTACCCAATACCCCTGGGGGTCCAGACCCACCAGCGGAGCTGGAGGGACCCACACGCTGTCCCCTCAAGGCCACGGTGCGGCCCCCACAACAGGCCAACAGCAGTGGCCCTGAACGGAGAGCTGGCCCCCAAGCCCACCTGACAAGTCACTCCTGAACCCAGATTCTGGGCCGCGGATGACTCCAAAGTCAACTCGACCCTCCCTCTAGACTCACTCCCTTAAATTCTAAAAAGGAGAGAAGTAACAGGCAAAGAGAGCCAGGTTCAGGATCAAGTTCGCAGCCTCCCTCTGATGTGCAAGTTTGCCCCAGGCACAGCTCTGATCTGGAACAGGAAGTTAAAAATGCCCTGAAATGGAGGGGGCCATGGGGAGGCAGAGGCACGGGGCCAACAAAAATGCCTGGGGGTTCTCATGCGCTGCCTTTGGTGGTCCCCACCCAGTAGACCCCCAGGAAGATGTCAGGTCAGGTCCGTGCCCACATCACAGACAGACCCCCAGGACATGGCAGAAGTCATTGCCTCGTCACTCCTGCCCCTGACACCCCCAAAGGGGTGACCAGCTCTGGCCTGAGGAGAACCGTGAGGCCACGTCCTGCCAGTCACACAGGGCCCATCGTGGCCCACCTGTGTCGGTTGTCACATGTCCCCACTGTGAAGACGGGGAAGCAGCTCCAAGGGCTGTGTCACCTGCTCCCAGCCACACAGCCCTTCCGCCCTGCTGTCCCTGGGGAAGACGCCGAGTCTTTCCAGACCACTGGACAGGGCACAAGGGGACTCTACCTTCCCCGGTCAGCTTTCATCCCCACGCAGGCTCCCACCACTGGCATCCTCGGCCGCCCGCTCTGCCCATCCTGCCCTCAGGCCAGTTGGGCCAACAGGGGCCCCCAGGTCCCTGCCAGGCGGCCTCTCTGGGGCCCCGCCGGGCAGGAAGCACGAGGGAAGAAGAGGGGGCAGCTGCTGTCCCTGCCCTCCCGGCGACAAGAGCCTCATGCTGACCCTGCAGAGAGCAGCTGGGGGCAGCCAAGGGTCACTTATCCACAGGGTGGAAAAGTCCTGTTCCCCATGTGACCCGACGTTCAGTTCAGCTTACCAAATGCCCACAGAGCCTCTACTGAGTCTGTGCCAGGGGCGGTGTGGGCACCAGGCTTATGGGGACAGCGCAGCACGTGGGCCCGCACCCAGGGAGCTCTGGTCTGGAACCACCACACAGGGTGGCCAACCCAGGCGTCCATCGACAGACGAACGCAGAAACGAAGTGTCCCCACGTAACGGAACACCACTCAGCCTTCGGGAGTTCAGACACCCGCCACGACGGGGATGAAGCTTGCGGACATCACATCACATGGAATGAGCCCGCAGAGAACCACATACCGCGTGATTCCATTTACACGAAACGTCCAGAAGAAGCGAATCCAGAGACAGAAAGCAGATCAGTGCTGGCCAGGAGCTGGGGGAGGGGAGAACGAGGAGCCACTGCTGACAGGTACGGGGTTGCTTTTTTGAGGCAGGGAAAATGTTCTGGAATTAGATCGTGGGGACGGTTGCACAGCTCTGTGAATATCCTAAAGAGCTACTGAGTGGTAAGCTCTCAAAGCGTGAATTTTATGGCCTATAAATTAGATGTCCATTAAAAACAGGAGGGGCGCCTGGGTGAGTCAGTGGGTTGGGCCTCTGCCCTCAGCTAAGGTCATGATCCCAGGGTCCTGGATCGAGCCCCGCATCGGGCTCTCTGATCGGCAGGGAGCCTGCTTCCCCCCCACCCCGCCTGCCTCTCTGCCTGCTCGTGACCTGTCAAATAAATAAATAAAATATTTAAAAATAAAATAAAATAAAAATAAAATAGGAGGCCACAGACCAGCGGGAGTGCCGGCCGGCCGAGGCCGTACTGGGAGCCTCGGGGTGCGCAGCGGGCAGACGGGAGCCGGGAGAGGCAGCCGGGGCGGGTCCGCAGGACCAGCGGGGGAGGACCTGCTCTCAGGTGCGGGCTCGGACCAAGTCCCGGGAGAAGCGGGGCTGCCTCGGATGCACTGAGTTTCTGCAAAGGGCAGACACGAGATGACAGCACCTGTATGAAGTACCCCGAGTGGTCGAATTCACAGAGACGGGAAGTGCAACGGTGGTTTCCAGGGCCTGGAGCGGCGACTGCGGGACAGGGGCAGAGCTTCAGGCTGGGAAGGTGACAAGGGTGGGGGTGGCCACACGGCCATGGCTGTACTCGGTGTCACTGAACTGGCACGAGAAATGGTTAACACGGTGAATCTTGTATTTTACAACTTACAAAAAGAGAAAACAGAACAAAGCAAAGTCTGGGCACGAAGACAGTCCGCTCTGGAGCTCCGAGCAGGCGGGGGTGGCGGGGCAGGGTGGGGGCTCCCCCGGGGGGCCGGGGCCGGCCGGCTGGTGGGGCAAGGGGAACACGGCACCAGTGTCACGTGCAAGTACCCTAAGTGACAAGAGCTGGGGCTGCACACCTGGCGCGGTGTCACAGTCACGGACGCTGATGTCCTGCGAGCACCTTCTGAGAGAGGAGAAGCGATCCAGCCCGGGGAGAAGGGGTACAAGGCAACAAGCAAACCAAGAGTCCTCAGCGCAGAGGGGGAGGCGTGGTGCTGGGGCCTCCTTCCGCGCACCCCCGCCACAGCCCTGGGTGAGGCAGCGGGATAGGGAGCAGCAAGGACAGGGCCCAGCATGGAGGACAGGGCCTGGAAGCGTGGCCATGGATCCCCACGGCAGAACGTCACCCTGCACGGTGCTCCGTGACCACACGGGCTTCACGGCTCCAAGTGCTGACCCCATTTTACAGATGATGAGCCCGAGGCCAAGATAGGCAGAGTTACCTGCCTAAGGTCCCCATCCGGCGGTGGGGGTGGGGCAGAGCCAGAATTCAAATCCAAATCCAGGTCCATGTGACAGGCCTGACAGGCCCTAATCCTCACATCTCATTCCCGAGGAACGAACGAGGGGGCCCAGGGCACACTGGGGGTGTGGAGTGGGGGGCAATGAAAACCCACAGTGAAAATCTTACAGAATCTTATAGAATTTATAACTTTTTTCTCCCAGGTTTCCTTGAAGTTCTGGTGCCTCTTACCACTCGTCCCCTGGACAACCGTCTAAGGGCAGAGGCTGGGCTCAGCTCCAGGGCACCTTTCTCTGTAAACAGAGGCCCCGTGGTCTTGTTTTCACGTCACCCGTTTTATTTTTCCGCAAAGTGCTCTCAGTGCGTACACATTCAGCCTGTTTCCTGGGGCTGTCCACAGAGCACCGTGACATCTCCGTGAACTAATTACGTCTCTGGATTCCTGGACACAGACACCAGGCAGCCACACGGCACGTTCTGGAATGCTCGACATCTCTGTGCCCAGAGGCTGACCAGGACAGGCTGGGGCCGGGCTCCTGACACTTGGCCTCATGTGAGAAACCCCGGGCTCCTTGCTAAAGCGCCGGCCGCGGGCTGCGCGAACCACCTCAGAGCCCCCCCTTGCGCCCGGCTTCTGATCTGGCTGGGTGCAGGGAGGAGAGAGAACACCCCACTCCCTCCCTGAGAACCCTAGCCAAGGGGACCGTCCCTCTACACGGTCCAGGACTGGTAACCAACCCGCCCTGCCCTTCCCAGGGTGCACCCCACTTTGCTACTGGATGGCAGTTCCTCCCATCGGGAGGCGGGGTCTATCTTCCCCTCCCTTGCCCCAGCCTCAACCACGTGACCTGCTCTGGCCAATGGGCTATAAGCAGAGGCTTGAAAAGTTGCTTGTAGGCTGGACCAACGGCACTGGTATGGGAAGATGGGACCACGTGCTGCAGAGATGAGCCCTCCCCAGGAACCCCCTCCCCACCAGCTAGCCTGCCAACCACCGGACACATGAGGCCATCTGCCCCCATCCGGCCTGGGACAGGACAGGCTAGCCCAGAAGAACCCATTTTGAGGATCGACAGAATCAGGAGAAACAGTTCAAATAAAGGAGCCACCAAGCCCTTACTGTGTGCCAAGAACACAAGGACCGATCCTAGGACCTTTGCACATATTAATTTAGTATTCTTACAACAGTCTTGTAATATAAACTCTATCGTTAACTACATTTTATAGGCAAGGAAACAGCAGCACAGAAAGATTACATATTCTGCAAAGGACACAGAGCAGTAAGTGGCCAAGTTGGGATTTGAATTCAGAGGCTACACTTAACCATTATGTCCTAGTGCCCCGCAAAGTCCCCCACCCTCAGCTAGCCTCCTCCCCAAGCGACAGATGCACTCAACTCTGCTCTCCATCTTTAATTCTTTTTTTAATATTTTATTTTTAAGTAATCACTACACCCAACATGGGTCTTGAACTCACAGCTCCCAGATCAAGAGTCACCTGCTCTACCAACTGAGCCGGCCAGGTGCCCCTGCTCTTCACTTTTAACGCAGCAATGACCACTCCAAGTGCCCCCACCTGTCTGGCCACCCCCCAACCAGACTGAGCAGCCTGAAGGCCAGGCAGAGCAGAGCTCAGTAATAAATGAGACCAAAGGGAGCACAGACACAGAGCCACAACCGCAGAGGGACAGAGGCCGCCAGATGTCAGGCATCTGGCTCAGTCGTGTAGCGACAGACTCTTAGCTCAGGTCTGGATCTCAGGGTCGTGAGGTCGAGCATGGCATTGGGTTCCACTTTGGCAAGGAGTCAGCCTTTCCCTCTCCCACTGCCCCTCCCACCACTGGCACGTGCACACTCTCTCGCACTTGCTCTCTCTCAAATAAATGAACAAAATCCTTAAAAAAATAAAAATAAAAAACACTCTCCTCATCCACCGTTTCTTACAGATGAGGAAACCAAGGCCCAGATGGGAAGATTCTGCCCACTGTCACCTGGTCAGTTCCTGGCAGAGTCACGGCTAGGCTTCAGGTCTCCCAATCCCTAGGCCAGGATTCCCACAACCAAAACCAAACCCCAAGAAACCCAATGCCAAAGAGGAAAGGGCAGGCCGCCCGGGTGGCTCAGTGGGTTGAGCATCTGCCTTCGGCTCAGCTCATGATCCCAGGGTCCTGGCATCAAGTCCGGCATCGGGCTCCCTGCTCAGCAGGGAGTCTGCTTCTCCCTCTCCCTCTGCTGTTCCCCCACCCCGCTTTTGCTTATGGGCTCTCTCTCTCTCTCTCAAATGAAGAAATAAAAAAATCTTAAAAAAAAAAAAAAAAAAGGAGGAACGGGCACCCACCTTTGGTGTGCGACGCGCCATCCCCTGGGAACACGTAGGCGTCCTCCAGCTTGGTGACGTCGAACAGACAGATGCAGAGCCCCACGTTGTACACGACCTGTGTGCATCCGTGGACACACACATTGTGACACTGAGGTCCGGCTCCCCAGCATGCTCGCGTGAGACCCTCACCACCCAGGGCCGATACGATTACCCCCGTTTTATAGCCAGAAATGAGCTGGGGCACCCTGAGGAAACCATGGGTCGGGGCCTCCCAAGGATGTGGAGCTCTGGCAAGAGCGGGGCGTTTGTCACAAGGCAGATCCTGGTTACAGTGCCAGCTCCACCGCCCACTGCGTGACCACCAAGGTCACTTCTCTGAGCCTCAGTTTTCCCCATCTGCAAAAATGGACCTCCCACACTGCAAGCTTGTTAAATAAAGAGAGAGACTGGATGTGAAGCCCCAGGCCAGTGTCTGGCTCACATGTTAGAAGTAATCATTGTCAACCGTGGGTCACTGTTATTAGTCAGGATCACTGATAACTAGGGAACCCTGGTTTAAACCTCCACGTCCCAAAGTCCCCAGATCCATGCTGGAACTCACGGCTCCGTGTCAGAGTCCTGGCTAATCCCCACTCTGCACACAAAGAAGGAGACACAGCCACGGCCACGGGGACTGCAGCTGGCAGAGTGGCACATGGCCAAGGGCCCAAGACTAGGCAGACAGCGTCCCATGCCCCCATCCCCACCCCCACAGTGCTCCAAACCACTGACCCGCTTAGTATCATCTTATCTGCCACCAGTGTCATGACCTCCCAATTACAGATCCTGCAGACTGTTCAACGATTAGCAAGAAGCTCAGAGAACTCAGGGTCTGGGCCAGACCTCATCACGATGAGGTCTGGCTGGCTTCGGCAGCACAAGATCTGTGCCACTGGCTGGACCACAGACCTCTTCTGTGCAGCCTCCTCTCAAATGACTCAAATACAGAAGACTCATCTCGGGGCGCCTGGGTGGCTCAGTGGGTTAAGCCTCTGTCTTCGGCTCAGGTCGTGGTCTCGGGGTCCTGGGATCGAGCCCTGCGTCGAGCTCTCTGCTCAGCGGGGAGCCTGCTTCCCCCCTCTCTCTCTGCCTGACTCTCTGCCTGCTTGTGATCTCTTTCTCTGTGTGTCAAATAAATAAATAAATCTTTTTTTAAAAAGGTGGGGGGGTGCCTGGGCGGCTCAGTGGGTTAAAGCCTCTGCCTTCAGCTCAGGTCAAGATCCTGGCGTCCTGGGATCGAGCCCCACATTGGGCTCTCTGCTCGGCAGGGAACCTGCTTCCTCCTCTCTCTCTGCCTGCCTCTCTGCCTACTTGTGATCTCTGTCTGTCAAATAAATAAATAAAAGCTTAAAAAAAAAGTCTTAAAAAAAAAAAAAAAAAAGAAGACTCATCTCAACAGGTCACTGAAGGCCCCAAAGAGACTTCATTTCTTTCTTGGACTTTTCACAGCTTCTCTCACCACGATGCTCGCACTTCATCCTGCCACAGACCCCCTGGCCTTCTAACTCACAAAGCAGCCAGAAGCCATCCACTAAGGACTTCATGAGTTCTCTCCACCAACAGCTCCCCAGATCCATACACTTCCCTTCTATGACCTCACTCTAAGGAAAGGACCGTCTAAAGCCAACCAACCTTCCTCTTGGCTGGCTCCTTCTAAGCCTATCACCTCCTGCTGGTCTATGGATGAAGACCAGTACCGCCATGATATCCTGCAGGCCCGTGCAGCTTGGTTCCTGCCACCTTTCCAGTCTGCCCTGCCCTCTCTTCCTCTGCCCTGGCCACACCAGCCTCCTCCATGTTATGATGGGTGAAGTATTCCCTCCTGCCACAGGACCTTTGCACATGCTGTTTCCTTTGCCTGCCCAACTCTTCTCTCTGCACAGCCCTATCCCACCCTCAAAAATGAATTCCCTGGGACGCCTGGGTGGCTCAGTTGGTTAAGCAGCTGCCTTCGGCTCAGGTCATGATCCCAGCGTCCTGGGATCGAGTCCCACATCGGGCTCCTTGCTCGTCAGGGAGCCTGCTTCTCCCTCTGCCTCTGCCTGCCATTCTGTCTGCCTGTGCTCGCTCTCTCTCCCTCTCTCTCTCTGACAAATAAATAAATAAAATCTTTAAAAAAAAAAAAAAAATGAATTCCCTCTTCAGCATCATCTCTCAGCTCAAGCTCAAATGCCACACCCCTAACAAGGCTGCTCTCTCCCTCATTGTAGGCAGAGTTCTCCTTGTGAGAGACCTGTGAAGGCCTGTCCTTCACAGCACTTACCTCAACTTGTCATCATATACTCAACTGTGGGTCCCTCTCATTCATATCTGCTCTCCCCATACTACAGGGCAGAACCTTGTCTGATTCATTCAGTCAGTCAACAATTATGGAACATCTGCTGTGTGCCAGACTCTGGCCAAATACGAAGGTACCATGTGGGGAAGAAGACAAAGGTCCCTGCCATCATGGAGCTGGAAAGAAAAACCATAACCATCTAAGAAGGAAAGAGCGATACGACACAGAGTAACTGAGGGAGGGTTACTTCAGAAAAGGCCCCAGACCAGCGGTCACTAAGGCATGCAGGGCCTGGCACATAAAAAGGTGCACAAACACTTTTCTGCAGGAATAAATAAATAAACCTCCTGACCGCTAACTCTAAAACACTCTGTCCATCTTCACAAAAACAGTGCGCAATTAGGCGACCATTTTTATTTCCATTTTACAAAGGGAAACTGAGGCCCAGCGGGGATAAGTGACCTGCCCAAGATTGCAAAGTAATCTGGCAGTGTGGAATCTAGCATTTCCCAGTCAGAATGGCCTTTTTCAACCCCAGTTTCTTTTTTGATTCCCTCTAATATCCCATATGCAGGGGGATTACCCCCATCCCACCTACAGGTGAAGAAACCCAGTTCTGCGACGTTAAGCTACTTGCCCAAGGCCAAGGTTTGGCACGACCAAGGCCAGGCTGCAGTGGGCAGGTGGGCAGTGCTGGGCCCTCCGGTGCCAGGGCCTGTCAGCGACCCCGTCGGCCCAGTACCTTGTTGGCCAACTTTTTGTTCAGCTCCTCCGCAATGGAGTCGTTGAGCTTCCTTTCAAACTGCCACGGGGGGATCCGCACGGTGTCCACCATCTCCACCAGGACGAACATGCCGGCCCGCGTTGGGGCCCTGGGTGCGGGAGGGTCAGTCGCGCACCGTCTGGGGCCGAACCCCCTCCGCCCCGTCCCAAACGCTGAGACACCCCCGACCACCACCACCAAGGCCGGCAATAGGGCTGCGCGGTAGGGCACCCGGTGCCCCGTGCGGGGCGTGCTCAGCTTCTGCAAAGTGAGGAAACTGGGGCTCAGCGGGAGAAGCCCTTACTCGGGTGGGAAGGGTGCGAGCACCCGCTGCACGACCCCGCGCTGCCCAGCCACAAGCCACGCGCCGCGGCCACGCAGCACGCTCCCACACGCAGCCGACTCACGGCGAGATTCCGAGTCCCGTCGCTTCCGGAGAACAGACCAATAAGAAGCCTTTTCCCGCCCCCTGACGCGGCGCGGGGCGGGGCGGGGCGGAGCCTCCCCTTCTGCCGGGGCGAAGCTGACGGTCCTCCGACCGCGCTTTCTGGTTGCTAGGCAACCTCGGTCGGTTCCGGACTTCACCTGCTGGGCGGGTGCTTTACTCTCTTATTCCTGGTCTCAGGTGGTGCTCTGTGCCACAGCCAGAGGGATCCTTCCAAAAGCCGGCACAGGATGCTTAGACCCCTCAGTACCCCGGAGGCGGGAGAATTAACTGGAAAGGGGCAGGCGGAACCTTTCTGGGGGTGATAGAAATGTTTCGTATCTTCTAAGGGGTGGGTTTCACAGGTGCATGCAATTGCAGAGTGCCTGGCTGGCTCAGTCGGCAGGGGATGCAACCCTTGATAGCAGGGTTGTGAGTTCAAGCCCCAAGCTGGGTATAGAGATTACTTAAAAATAAAATATTTTTAAAAATCTCATCAAACTCAGCAGTTAGGATCTTTGCATTTAATTGTAGGCAGATTATATCTCAATTGAAAAGTGGCAATAAATTGGGACCAAAAAACAACCTCGATAGTTTCCCATTAAACTAATAATAAAATAATAAACTAAATATATAAAAATAATAATAACTAATAATAAAGTCTGAAACTTGGCTGGCTCAGTTGTGGAGCTGGTGGCTCTTGATCTCCAGATTGTGAGTTCAAGGCTACACCTTGGGTATAGAGATTACTTAAAATAAAACCTTTTTAGGGGCACCTGGGTGGCTCAGTGGGTTAAGCCTCTGCCTTTGGCTCAAGTCATAATCTCAGGATCCTGGGATGGAGTCCCGCATCGGGCTCCCTGCTCAGCAGGGAGCCTGCTTCCCCCTCTACCTCTGCTGCTCCCCCTACTTGTGCTCTCTCTCCTTCTCTCACTCTCTGTCAAATAAATAAATTCTTAAAAAAATAAAAAATTAAAAAAAAGTAAAACCTTTTAAAAAAACCTCATCAAACGCAACAGGATCTTTGCATTTAAATGTAGGTAGAGGGGCGCCTGGGTGGCTCAGTGGGTTAAAGCCTCTGCCTTCGGCTCAGGTCATGATCCCAGGGTCTTGGGATCGAGCCCCGCATCGGGCTCTCTGCTCGGCGGGGAGCCTGCTTCCTCCTCTCTCTCTGCCTGCCTCTCTGCCTACTTGTAATCTCTGTCTGTCAAATAAATAAATAAAATATTTTTAAAAATAAATAAATAAGTAAATGTAGGTAGATTACATCTCAACTGGAAAGTGGTAATAAATTGGGACCAAAAAACAACCTCAGTAGTTCCCCATTAAACTAATAATAAAGTCCGAAACTTGGCTGGCTCAGTTGCGGAGCTGGTGACTCTTGATCTCCAGATTGTGAGTTCAAGCCTACACCTTGGGTGTAGAGATTACTTAAAATAAATAAATAAACTGGGGCGCCTGGGTGGCTCAGTCAGTTAAGCATCTGACTTCGGCTCAGGTCATGATCTCAGGGTCCTGGGATCCAGTGTGTGTGTTGCTTTTCAGGGAGTCTGCTTGTCCCTCTCCTTCTTCCCCTCCCCGAGACCCTGCTGGTGTGCTCTCTCTCTCTCTCGAATAATAAATATCTTAAAAATAAATAATTAAGGGGCGCCTGGGTGGCTCAGTGTGTTAAGCCACTGCCTTCGGCTCAGGTCATGATCTCAGGGTCCTGGGATCGAGTCCCGCGTCGGGCTCTCTGCTCAGCAGGGAGCCTGCTTCCCTCTCTCTCTCTGCCTGCTTCTCTGTCTACTTGTGATCTCTCTCTGTCAAATAAATAAATAAAATCTTTAAAAAAAATTAATTAATTAATTAATTAAGTCCAAAACCTTTATGATCGCTCACAAGACCCTGTAGGATCTCACCTCTACCCACACCTCCAGCCCCATTTTGTTCTCTCCCCTGCCGCTCCTGCCAACCCCACTCATCTTCCTATGATGGGTAACATGGGCTTGGGCTAAGATAATTCAGCAGCTTGTCCGACATCGCGAGCTGTGATGCGAGCAGGCCCTTCTAAACCCCTGCATTGCCTCTAAAAGTTGGCGGGCTGTGGAAATCTACTGCTGTGTGTTTAAACCAAATAAAAATTAAAACTTAAAAAAAGTCTTGGGGTAGAGGAGAGACGCACTCAGAAATGCACGCTGCTTCACTTTGCAGATTTTACACGTGTAGCGATATCTGCGTGAGGCTGGCTGCAGTGAGACTTAATTTGGCCTTCTCTGCATCCATATTTTTATTTTTAGGTCTGTCCGCCTCTCCTAGGGTTTGAGCTACTTGAAGACAGGGGGAAATGCTACTTCAGCTCTTTAGTCCCATGATCCCCTAATATGGTTTCTAGAAGGCATTCAGGAGACGTCTTGAGGAGATGATATTAAGTCTTTCCCTCAATCTCTCAAACCTCCTTCTTCATTGCATTTCCGCAGCTACTTCCCTGGTTCAGGCCTTTCCGTAGCTCTGCTGAAGCTTAGCCACACCCCTGGCTCCTGGCCTCAGTCTCACATTGTCATGAAAACCCTCCCTTCATGGTCTGGACCGAATGCAGCCTTTCTCTCCAGCCTGATCTCCCTTCTGTCCTCTAAGCACGGGGGTGGGGCAAGTTCTTTTAGTCCCACCTCGAACACTTCTTTACCTGGAAAACTCCTACTCACCCATCAGAACCCAAACACAATGCCTACCTCATTCATTCATTTCATTCATTCACTCAACATACTGTGTGCCCAGCTTTGGAGAACCCCGGGTCCTGCTTCAGCCCAGAGGGGTTGCAGGGAAGAAGGAGAGAGAGATGGAATTTGAAGCTCTCAGAATTAAAAGTATTTCAGCTGATTTATAGGGAGATAAGAACCAGTGAGATCAGAGACCTCAGCAGGGTCCGGATCACAGGGGCCTTATCATTATAATATTCATTAAATTTAATCCTCACAACAGCTATATAGTAAGGTCTATAATTATCATTATCTGATTTATCTCATTCTCATTTATCTCATCTCATTTTGCCTCATCTAAGGCAGAAAGAGGTTAAGTAGGTCGTTCAAGGTCACACAGCTCATGAGTGGCAGAGCTGGGATTCAGGCTCCAGAGCCCATGAGCCTAACCACTGGGCTGTGCCAGGACTTTATTAGCCCAAGGATGGCAAAGGGAAGCCTTAGATGGTAACAACAGGGGAATGACACAGACGCATCAGCAGGGTGGACCGCGGGTGGGAAGGGGCTGGGGTGGATACGTGAAGACCAGGGAGGGAGTTACTGGAAGGCTCCTGTGAGAGAAGGCCCGAGTAAGGCTGGTAGCCATGCAGCGTGAAGCTGGGCAGAGTCCAGAGGTTTCCAGGAGGTGGTCTCCACCATAGGGTGGGTGACCTAGGGACGGAAGGGGGAGGAACCAAGGCAGGAGAGCTTGGGGCCTGGCAGGCTGGTGGGCCTTTCACTGAGATGGGAAACTGGAGGTGGGCCAGGCTGAGGGGATGGGGCCGGCCTTGCGGCCTTAGTGTTCTGGGTTCCCAGGCTTCTTTTATGGCATTCAGCTCACAGGACGGCAACAGGGATTTGTTGGCACGTTTGGTTTCCTCATTAGGAAAAACAGGGACCGGGCTTCTTTATTCATTCTCTGCGTTGTTCTGAGGAAGCTGTGAGACGGCTCGTAGACACACACAAAGGCAGTTTGTGAGCTCAGCGGCGGTGGACCCCGGCGCCGTGTGCCTCTGCATCCTCCGGGCCTAGTCCTGTGTCCGTCTTGTAAATATGGGAATGAACAAAAGGCTAGCCAAATCATTGCTAAGTGGAGGGAGAGACAGGGCTGGAAGCTAATCCAGGAGGAGGAGGAGGAGAGAGCAGGGAGTGGTGAAGGGCATGGAGTTCCCACGCCACTGCACAGGGGCTGAGCGAAAGCCCGAGAACCTCTCAGCGCCTCAGCGGTCTCTCTGTACAACAGAGATAATAATAGAACCGATCTCAGACGATTGTCCGGCATGGAGGACAGGATAGAAATGAGATATGGTGCCTCACAGAACGGAATAATACGAAGCCGTAAAAAAAAGGACGAGAAGGTTCTTTGTGTGTTGCTGTGGAATGAGATTTGGGATACACTAAGTATAAAGATGAGAGGCGCAGTGCCGTGTGTATGGGACGTTCCCGTTTGCGGGAAAAGGGGGAAAATAATACTCTGTGGGCACGCGGCTGATTCCGTGGGGGGCCACGTGAGGAGCAGAATGGCTGAGGGTGTGGGGGAGGGGAAGGAAGGAGAGTCAGATTACCAAGCGGCCTTGCCCTCTGGAATCTTCGATAATTAGGATCATGGGAATATATTACCTATTCAGAATTTAAATTTAAATTGAAAAAGCAATTAAGATTTTTCACGTCTTAAAAACACCCCTCTCTCGGCCCTCCTGCTAGTGGCCCATTTTCTGCTCCCTTTAGTGGCAAAACCACTTGAAGGTGCCGTCCCGGTTGGCGGTCCCCAAATCCCCTCTTCTTGTCCTCTCTTCAACCTGTCGAGTCCGGTTCTGGCCCCGCCACGCAGCCCACAGTGCTTTCTCTGGGTCACCGACGATCTCCACGTGGTCCAATCCAGGGCTACTTGTCAGCGCTCAGCAGCCGCGGGTCCCCCTTCCTCCTTCCTCCCTCACACACTCCTTGGCTCCCAAGGGCCCCACACTCACCCGGGTCTTCCATCCATCTCTGACTGTTGGTGGTCGTGCCCACTCTGCAGCCTCATGGGCCGGGGGGGGGGGGGGGGGGGGGGGGGGGGGGGGGGGGGGGGCGGAGATGAGCCCTTCCCCCGACCCAGGCTCTCCCATGGCTCCCTCGTGGCTCTCTTGTGGCCCTCTCCCCGTGCTCCAGATTCCCCCCCTGCCTGCTGCACATCCCTGTTCAGCATCTCAAGTTTAGTCTGGGCCTGAGTGGCCTCCCCAGTCTTCGGATCTTAGAAACGGACTCTTCCATTCTCGGGTCGCTCAGGCCCA